TACATAAATATAAAAATGCCATTGCATGTATCAGAAATAGGCTACCTATTTGCTCGCGCACAAGCAAGTTCCGTTTCCTCTCTGGAGACGCGTTCAGTCTTTGCGCTTGTAAATTCCGCCGTGTAAATAGCGAATCCACCATGGTGCGAGCGCAACTGACTCTTAAAGGGAATGGGAGATGAGACTCTGATTGGTTTATTGCACATTATGCCCAAAACACACCTATTACTCATTAAGAGAATAGGGACAACCCTTTTAGACCACGCGCTGGGCGCGCCGACCGTTTTTCCCGTCGTTAAACTAGCAAAAGTGGATTCGGACACGCCCTAAGTGCTACTGCGCCGTGCGCTTTAGACCTTGCGCTTAGATCGTTAAAATAGGGCCCATAAAGTCCAATTCTGAGGGAAATTTTCTTACATTTGCAAGTTTATATCTCACATTTCTGACACTATTTCTTAGAATTGCGACTTTATTTCTCAGAATTGCAAGTTCACATCTCACAATTCTGACTTTACCAAAAAAGTAAAAAAATAAAAAGTCACAATTACCTTTTTTTTTTTCTTCAGTGGCGGAAACAGGCTTTTGTACGGTGGCAGAGAGAGCTCAATACGCTGCAACTTCAGAAAACACATGCAAATAGAAAAAGCACCAGCAAATCAAGAAAACATCTTCATCACTTTGACAGCAGGTGCTGCAAATGTTCACAACGCAAACAAATAAAGAATTTTATTTGCAGTGCGTTTCTTTATTTGGTTGTGTTGTGAGCATTTGCAGCGCATGTGTTGTCAAATTGATGAAGTTGTTTACTTAATTTGCAGGTGTTTTTTCTATTTGCAGCGTGTTGAGCTCTCTCGGCCACCGTACTTTTGACTAGCTGTAGGCTTTAACAGAAAAGATGCAAATGTATGATCCTATATGACCCGTTCCATATTTGTCAAGTATTCTAAGGTTTTGGTGAAAAATAAACCTGAATTTTATGTATTATTTAGCCAAAATCCTGACAAACAGAAGATCTTTAAACATTTCTTTTTTTTGTGTGTGTGGTATGAAAAAGAAAGAAGATCATACGGCATTAGAACAACACCAGGGTGAATGCACAATGACAGAATTTTCATTTTTGGGTGAACTATCCCTTTAAACTAAAGATTATTGTCTATTTAAAATATTTTTTGAAATAACATTTCTGTTTTTAAGTTGCACTCGTGAAGAAATTTCATGGGTTTTTAACATCCATTCAGTTTGCTAAACCTCTTCAGTTAACTGTGTAATTTAGTTAAAACACATATTTAGATTTAACCCACTCAGCTAACACTCTTTGCCCCAAATCTCGCTTATTCAAACAGCATTACTGTCTCTATAAGCATGTTCGGCTGAGAATAGGCTAATAATCATGAATCAACTCCATTATTTATCCAATCCAAGTCTGTTTTGTTGTCGTTTTGCTGTGGTACATGTGCACAGTGGACACAATTAGCAAATTGATGGCCATGCTAAATCGTTTCTTTCAGGCGGGCTTGGCAGATGGTGGCCCCTGTTTTGGAGCCAGTACCCCATACACAGCTGGCCAAAGCTGTATATTCAGATACGGGTGGTGAGTTAGCACTGTCAGGCTCCTGTAGGCCCTCACACAAAGGACTCCCCATCTGAGGCCTGCCCCGAGGGGGAAGAAACGCCCTCTTTAATGCATGCTTATCGAGGAGTCCCGCAGCACAGGGGCGGCTCGTCCATTTTTTATCTTTTCACAAATGGAAGCCTGTCCTTAGAGTATTCTGTGTTTCAGAAGCAAACGCTTGCTTTGAGTGCATCTGCAGTTTCACATTGATTATATAATGGAAATATGGACTCATTCCTCATGAATCTTAGTAAAGGAAGTACTTACCATATTAGCACCAAGCTTTAACTAGACGATCATAACTGGTTCCAACACTAAAATGAACACCTGAGTCATTCTCATTCTCTGGGGAATGGTTCGTCTTTGTGTCTCAGTGACTAAATTAGCAGGATATTGACCTTATTTACATTGTTTGATAGATTCACATTTATTTAGTGTGCAATGCAAAATACATTTTTTAATAAAACGTTTGTTTTACATCAAAATATTAGCAGATTTACATATTCGTTAGCATTAAATGTTAAATAGAAAAAAGGCACATTATATCTAAATGTAGCTTTTAATGAGATTTAAATAGTATTCTTTCACTGTCTGTCTTTTTTTAATGACACAAAACAAAACAAAATAACTGTAAATATATGAAGGAAATCAAAATACAGGTATGAAAATCAATACAGAAAATATTATATATTACAAATGGCACATATTTTAACTCACTTTTCTTGCTGTTGTAAATAATATTTGTTGCTGATATTCAACCCTGTAAACAAATTAAATCCTTATTTATACCCATATTTATATTTATAATTATAATAATATAACTGCCATGAAACATGTCATTGGTTATTACTTTTATTATTATTATTATTATTATTTCAGTGATAATGTGTGATTACAAATATATTAAAACTGAGTGAAAAAACCTATTCAAATGGTGAGTATTATTCCAAACCTATTGTGATATGGCTGAAATAACAGTATTTACTTTATGGTTTGGATTTGGCTTAGGGTTAGTAACAATAAATAAATTGGCACTTTGCAAGGCTGTAACCATATATTTAGTGTTGTGGGTAATAGTTTAATAATCAGCCACCAAAAAAACAAACAAAAAAAACAATTCTTGATCTGAATACTAATGGGAATTATTTCCTTACTGTGGTTGCCAGTGTCTATTGTGGTTATAACCATGATACTTTGAGCCTTGGAAATTGGTAGCCCTTAGATCCTTGGTAAGCCTTAGTAATCTTTTCCAATGAAATGATTAAAATTTTTTGTAAAACTGGTTAACAATTCTTCTGAACTCTGGCAGCGATGTCCATTATTATGCCAACACAAATGGAGAGGGGAGGTGAGTATGGCACACTGAGAAGTATAAAACTCAGAGGACAGATGGGTCGGAACAGAACGTACCCATTGTGACTCAGTCATGTTCATCATTTCTTCGTCATGTTCCATCTTGGCCCACATCTGTGCAAATTATTATCTGAGATCCATTAACCAATTAGATTTTGTGATTCTGTCCATGTGTTTAACATGTCTAGTGCAAACAGAAGCATCTAAATGATATCTATTTTGTTAGAATGCAAAAGGAATGAACAAAGTATTTACAAAAAGCTTGTCTTTATCTTTCACTGTCCATAAGAACATTAAAACAATAGAATCTAAATCAATAGAGTTGTGTGTCTACACCCATTATATCACTCAAAGGACTATGACAGCGTCGATGCTACACTGCACGGACCGTGTCAATAAGAACGTTCTCTCTTTGTTTGTCTTGTGACAGCATGGCTGAAGGGACTTCGAGTTCCTCTGCACAGTGCTGGTATAGAATATAAAACAGAGCTCTTAGGAAATTTAGTTCAGCTCACACAAAACATGTTCTTTGCTTTAGCACTGACATACTGATGATAAACAAGTCTACATAAATCCACACACAGCTATTCCTCTTCATATTCTGATTTGCCTCACCTCTTGTTAATTACATTAGTAATGATTAATAGTGGTTGACTTATTGGGGTTTTCAATGGCAAAACTGTGATACAGTTTACTAGAGCAGAAGGGTGGCAATATTGCAAATATGTACATACAATTTCAGATTTTTTTTTTTAATTAACATTTACTTTTACTCAAAATTCACTAAACAGCATTTGAAACCAAAAAACTGCAAGGAAGTCACTAGACTGTGAAACTGACACACATCTGTCAGTTATAGTAACTGTCAACTTACTGTATAAAAAAATGTCTAGATATCAGCCAAATTAATTGACTTGGCCACAAATCTAGCCTAATACTTAGTGCTAAATATTCTGCCATTATGATACAGAAAGAAAAAAGAAAAACACCTGGTAGGCAAAAGGTTCTTGCTCTTTAATATGAAATGCTTTGTATTTTTAACATTATGCTCCTCATCCGCTTTTCCAGAGTAGCACCAGGCAAGGGAGCTTTCTCTGGAAAATCAATGACTTAGTATGCCTAGAAACGCACGCGCTGGGATACACCCATGTAAATCCTGTACATAACCATTAATCATGAATTTAGTAGATACACACAGTACGCGCATAAGACAATAAGCAATACAGTGTCACCCAGATGAATCAGCATATTCAGAGTGTGGCTCGACTAAACATTATGCTGTTTCATTACGATGTGAGCGAGTAAGTGAATTGCTCACTAGTCGTATAGCCTCAGATGCATGCAGCTGCAATCCGGTATTGTTTCAGTATGGTGCGCGCGCGCAATGACCGTGTCCATGGTGCTGAACGTTACGCGAGCATCATTTTGAAACAAGCATTCAAGTGCATGGAATATTAATGCTCGGAGAGCATGCATCTATTTCTGTGACCCAAAGGAAAAGAATACATTGCACCTAAGTGTGCATGCATGCGACTTAAAAGCATTTAATCGACATGGAATTATGTGATTTATTCATGAAAACGTCGCTCGTTTTTACTAAGAAACATAGCACGTGAGTCTTATGGTGGTGCATGAATTATAATAACCCTTCCTTGTATAGAAAGCTCAAATTCAATGTTTTTTGAAGAAGAATAACTAAGCAACCTCACGCGCAAATCTATATCATGCACTTTGCACGAAACTGCTATTCAGCACGCGAGTTGCGTGATTGCTTTTGTGTGCATTAAAAAGATATTTCCAAGTGAAAGCTCCAAACCAGCTCCAGCTAAATGGGAGAATAGCTGAGCAACCCCCACCTATAGTATGCATCAGGATCTTTAAAAGCATGCGCCTTCAATGCATTTGCATTTTTGTATTTTGCATGCGTTTAAATATTTCCCCGTCTTAAAATCTGAAACGCAATGGCATTGCTCCTCCACTCCAGTTCACCTGTCTAAGGACAAATGGATAATTTAGCAAAAGGAACACTTCTTACCTTCTCTCTCACAAAGCTGGATGGCGTCCAGACTGAGATTCTTTATCATGTCCTCACACGGACTCGTGGGGCTGCTGACACTGTGTCCCACGCGTGGAACCTCCATCATTGAGCCTCTAAATGAACGATATCCCGGTAGTGAGAGTGACTTGCAGTGCCGCAGGACAGATCTTTACTCCGTGCTCTCTCTGTCTCCCACGGGTTTCCACAGTGTGCTGCTGATGAGAGCCACGTCAGCACATCGTCACGGCAGCTCCATCAGCGCTGATCGCTCCTGCGACGCGCACGGTCAAGCGCAAAGAGCAGTGACGTGTTCTACTGTAATTATACACTCTATATTCATATTTATATGGTCACACACTTTATATCACAGCACCACTGTACCTGCTGTAAGTACAGTGAAAAACTAATGAGCTGTTACTATGCTACTATTTTGCATAATTTTAATGGCACTGATGGACTTCAGATCTGACATTCAGTACAACAGCATGATTATGAGTGTAATATTGCTTTTATACAACAGTTCTAATTATTAAGTGAAAAGAACGAAAAAAAAACTCAGCAACACTCACTCTGGCATAAAAAATGAAAATAAAATAATGGAAAAGTTTATGAAAATTTCTAATGAAACTGCTGAACCAAGAAACTACTGAGTTATAGAGACATAATTTGTAGCATAAACACATTGTTCCAAACTTGTTCCAAACAAATTTCATCATGACTGAGTGTTGGATCTGGAGCCAATTGATCTGATCTATTTTAGTTAGTAACAGCTAACATAACCCATGTTACTTATTTAACATAAATTCAATGAAGATGCAAAATATTACTCGTTACTAGCATTTACAGAATGATTACTTTTATAGTCTATGTAGTGAGTGTTTTTTTCATGTAGTGAGTGTTTTTTCATGTAGTGACCCACAACCTAACCATGAGTACTACACTTCAGCACAGTTGGAATCAAACAAATGTCAAGAACATAACATAAAAAAGCCAAAAATATCAGCATTAAAATGGAGGTCTTTCCTTTTATTAAAAAACACATGAAAAAAAACCAAAAAAAACCCGTAATTTCAACATCTATTCTCCTCATCCAGTCAGTATGCAGACAGTATGCAAAGCATGGGAACAAGAAATCCACCATCCAATTTTCATACATTTTTAAGTTGATTTGTCAGTTTATAACTCGCAGTTCTGACTTTTATTCTCAGATGTGCAAGTTCATATCTTGCAATTGCAAGACAAATCAGAATAGTAAGATGAAAAAATCACAATGAATTGTTTGATTTTCTATATGGCGAAAACAAACAAACAGAATTGCGAGATGTAAACTTGGAATTCAGAGTAAAAAAATCTGAATTGCGAGCTGTAAACTCGAAATTGCGAGAACAAATTCTGAGTTTATTTATCTTAGAAATTCAAAGAAAAAAGTTGTGAGATAAAAAGTCACAATTAGAAATTTGAACTTTTTAGTATAATTTACACCAAAACCAAAATGAATATTTATCAGGCCAAATGCACAGCAAATTCACTCTTCGCAATACAGTATGGTGCTGATTAACAAAATTTGCTCTGCACCTTTCTTAGGACTGTCAATGCTTTAACAGATGAGATTAGTTAAATATTTAATGCAATTAATTAATTTTCTCATATTTCTCACATTTTCTTCTCTACTTGAAACAAAATATTCGTCTTGGGGTGAATAGGCCTTACTGCATTAGGCATGTGTTTCGACAAATTGAGAGATGTGGGAATTGTTTCTGCGGTAATTGGCAACATTTCACAGATGCTGTCAATAGAGCTTAAGTTTGTTCACCCAGAACATCCTGTTATACATTAAAGGGATAGTTCACCCAAAAAAAAAAGAAAATCTGTCATCATCTACTCACCCCTGATGCTCCAAGCCATGTAATGTGTAACATAATCTCAAGCTGGAATCAAATACAGAAAGTATTATCTAAAGTGTTATCTTATGAACGTCGTCGTGGAAAGCTACAAATGATTATTATGCTCCTGGGCACATGGTGAACACAGAACGGATTAATGCGGAATGAAAAGTGAATTAAATGTTTTGTTATGTAACAAGATTACAGCCCGTCTGCTTTCTTGTTGTCCCATGGATATTCTGGTACATTTTGTCAACCAAATAAATTTGAATCTAGTAAAGGAGAGGATATATTGGTGGATCTCTCTCATATGCTCCTCTCTGAATAACAAAAAAATTATTCCATATGTGGTTGTATTGAAGACTAACTGGGGAACATCCAAATGTTCTCATTATCTGTGTTAAGGATGAGTTCAGACAACAAAAGATGATTTACAATAGATGGAGTTACATTGCAACACATTTATGCATTTAAAGCAACAGCACTGCATTCGTAGTATACATTTCTATCAGTAGACTGTATTGAAAATACATATTTCAAACCAGCAACCAAATCTGGCATGAACTACCCCATAAATGTTGTTTCTTATGCACAAATAGCGTTAACAAATTGGACCAGCCAGTCTGCATGTCTGAGGACACAGATGTTTTTATGGCAGCTGCAGTAGCGTGTGACTTTACCACTGGCGACTGGCTCTTTTATTTAGAAGGCGGGACTTATTCCGACATATTTCGTGTTGCACTTTCTCCATATTACTCCCCTTATTCATTACTAATGTCAATGCACCGTCCTCTTTAGGAGCTTGTTTGCATCTGTACAGCCTCCAGAAGGTCTCCAGTGACAGGAACAAGTGAATGGTTAATTTTTAATGGCGTCCCCAGTTTTGTTGAAGGATTATATGTTTGTTTGGAGCATTTGACTGCAGATAGTATGTAAGCAAGGTATAAACCAGTGTAATGGAGAGTTTGCAAAGGAGATGAAGTGGTATACTGTATCTGGCAGCAGCTACATTGCAAACCGTAAGTAAACAAATTCAAAGTTATGGTTGTATGTGAATAATGTTGCAGTAGATAGGGGGCGTTGATATATTTTCCTATGCAATGACGTTATCCAATCATAACAGCCATTTACTGACAATCATTAAAGACGCTGCTTTCTTAAAAATTGATTATTTCAGATGATACATCATCATCGCGTTCCATTACACTATTGCAGACCGACTGAGCATGGAAGGCGTTCATATTGTAATATTATGTGCTTTGTACTGTAATGTTTTCTCACATGAGGTAATCTGACAGCATTGCATTCAACCCTCCACCAACGCTGTCTCTCATCATGTCACTGGTTTGCCTCTGCATGTTCACATTCATGTGTTTTGGAGGAGGTGTGGCATTGGAGAGTGATTGTCCAGGGAGGGTGGGATCTTATGCTTTCAAAGCTAACTTGCTATTGCTAGCCTCTCTGAAATCGCCTACCCTACCTTGTAATCTCAATTCACTATGCAGAGGAAACTATCAGTAAATTGTAGGTTGTTTCATCTGAAAAGTGTAACACTGTCTCTGGTGCTTTCAAAAGATTTCTGTTTGTTTGAGCATCCTGACCAACAATATTATGTGCTTTGTACTGTAATGTTTTCTCACATGAGGTAATCTGACAGCATTGCATTCAACCCTCCACCAACGCTGTCTCTCATCATGTCACTGGTTTGCCTCTGCATGTTCACGTTCATGTGTTTTGGAGGAGGTGTGGCATTGGAGAGTGATTGTCCAGGGAGGGTGGGATCTTATACTTTCAAAGCTAACTTGCTATTGCTAGCCTCTCTGAAATCGCCTACCCTACCTTGTAATCTCAATTCACTATGCAGAGGAAACTATCAGTAAATTGTAGGTTGATTCATCTGAAAAGTGTAACACTGTCTCTGGTGCTTTCAAAAGATTTCTGTTTGTTTGAGCATCCTGACCAACACTGGCTCAACCGATGACATATGTCTCGGGCAGGACTATTTGTTTGTCCAACCAATGGAAGACGGAGCGTTTGAGATACTTGTTTAAAATGCTCCCTGACTTGATTTACTTGTTTAAAACAGTAATTCGGTTTAGCTCAATGATTTTTCTGCCTCGGAATTATGCACTTCTACTTTAAATTCTATTCATTAGGGGTTCAAGCACGTAGCGCTGAAACCCTATTGTAATTGTTAGAATGGCCAAAGATCAGCAATCTCCATGTAAAAATGACTGTGCAGACCAAACTGTAAGTCGTAGAGACTTGAAACTTGGAGGGATGGTAGTACTCACACTGCCTACAACGTGACCAAGTCTCGCCCCAATTGGCCCGAGGGGGGTGCTACAGCAATCAAAAGTATGAAATTGCTCATAACTCCTAAATTGTCAGTTGCAGACTCAAGTGTCTTATGTTGTTGGAATCCTTGGTTCATGCCAGATATACGCATGCCTCAGATTTGCTCGTGAGCTGGTGAAATTTTCAGGTATTTTGGATTTTTTTTTTTGCGAACTAGTCCTAGATTTTTCGCCTGATTGGAACCAAACCAGTGTCCAAACGTTCAAAAGGGGCAGTGCCACTTTTAGTAAAATGCCTATAACTCCTGAACGGAATGAGACATCTTCGCCAAACTCAGAACACTTATGTAAGAGCTCAATCTAAAGTCACAGGGAAAAAATCGTGGAGCTTGGCCACTTGGTGGCGCTATAAGGGGCTATAACTGCGCAACCATTTTTCCTATCAACATGAAAATCGGTTTGCACGGTCTTGGTCCAAAGTGTCTATAAGGACATTTGTGTATCTCAAAAAACAAGGCTGCCATTGGCCGATGAAGTTTGAGCACCTATTAGACAAGGTTAATCAACCGATGACATATGTCTCGGGCAGGACTATTTGTTTGTCCAACCAATGGAAGACGGAGCGTTTGAGATACTTGTTTAAAATGCTCCCTGACTTGATTTACTTGTTTAAAACAGTAATTCGGTTTAGCTCAATGATTTTTCTGCCTCGGAATTATGCACTTCTACTTTAAATTCTATTCATTAGGGGTTCAAGCACGTAGCGCTGAAACCCTATTGTAATTGTTAGAATGGCCAAAGATCAGCAATCTCCATGTAAAAATGACTGTGCAGACCAAACTGTAAGTCGTAGAGACTTGAAACTTGGAGGGATGGTAGTACTCACACTGCCTACAACGTGACCAAGTCTCGCCCCAATTGGCCCGAGGGGGGTGCTACAGCAATCAAAAGTATGAAATTGCTCATAACTCCTAAATTGTCAGTTGCAGACTCAAGTGTCTTATGTTGTTGGAATCCTT